GATGTCGGAAGGGACCTCTGGAGGTCATCTTGTACAATAAGATGACTTGTGCTCAAGCAGAGATACTCAAAGAAGGTTGCCCTGGACCTTGTCTAGATGGTGTTTAAAGACATCCAAGGAGGAAGACTCCACAACCTCTCTGGGCAACCTGTGCAGTACAGGTTGCAGTACTACCCGCACAGTAAAAAAAGTGGTTCCTGATGTTCAGAAGGAACATCCTTTGTTTCTAGCTTCACAAGTTGGAAGAGACCTCCAAAATCACCTAGTCCAACCTCTGACCTAACACTAACAAGTCCTCCACTAAACCATATCACTCAGCTCTACATCTAAACATCTGTTAAAGACCTCCAGGGATGGTGATTCAACCACTTCCTTGGGCAGCCCATTCCAATGCCTAACAACCCTTCCAGTGAAGAAGTTCTTCCTAATACCTAGCCTAAACCTCCCCTGGTGCAACTTTAGCATATTCCCCCTCATCCTGTCACCAGGCATGTGGGAGAATAGACCAACCCCCACCTTGCTATAGCCTCCTTTAAGGTACCTGTAGAGAGCGATAAGGTCGCCCCTGAGCCTTCTCTTCTCCAGGCTGAACAATCCCAGCTCCTTCAGCCACTCCTCATAGGACTTGTTCTCCAGACCCCTCACGTTCTCTGGACTTCATTGCCCTTCTCTGGACTCGCTCAAGCACCTCGATGTCCTTCTTGTAACGAGGGGCCCAAAACTGAACACAGTACTCGAGGTGTGGCCTCACCAGAGCCGAGTACAGTGGAAGAATCACTTCACTAGTCCTGCTGGCCACACTGCTTCTTATACAAGCCAGGATGCTGTTGGCCTTCTTGGCCACCTGAGCACACTGCTGGCTCATATTCAGCCAAATATCAACCAATACTCCCAGGTCCTTCTCTGCCAGGCAGTTTTCTAACCACTCATCTCCCAGCCTGTAGCTCTGCTTGGGGTTGTTGTGCGCCAGGTGCAGGACCCAGCACTTGGCCTTGTTGAACTTCATACAGTTGGCCTCAGCCCATCGGTACAGCCTATCCAGATCATTCTGCAGAACCTTCCTACCCTTGAGTTTATGTTCATTGTCTCTTGTCCTGTCACAGGATAACACTGAAAAGAGCCTGGCTCCATCTTCTTTGCACCTTCTCTTCAGGTATTTATAGACATTGTTATTATCTCCCCTGAAACTTCCCTTCTCCAGGCTGAACAGTCCCAGCTCTCTCAGCCTCTCCTCATAGGAAAGTATTTTTTATTTTTAAATTGCACGTACTTTTCAGTATGTGAAAAAAACTATGGAAGTTGATGAGAATTAAACAGTTAATTGAACAGGATCTTAATTTAAATTTGGAATTATGAACAGTGTTACAATCTACATGTAAGCAGTGCTTACATTCATACATGTTTTCATACAAACAGGGTGAGCACTAGCTAAATTTTAAGAAAAAGGGTAAGGTTAGATATGGCCATCATTTTCAAAGTCATTGAAAATTTTTAATATTTTAATTATGAAGAGCACAATTTTCAGGGACTGGGTGATCAGCATTTGCAGGAAGCTAGGTCTTTTGAAAGTGTCTTAGTCTGGATGCCAAAGTAATCATGACTAGAACGTTTCATATTTCAATACTGTTAAATAGATTATATAAACCACAAAGTTCTTCCAAATATTAACTCTGGAATGTCTGTGACATGGAGTTGGGTTATTGCATGAAAAACTGTACACTGAAATGAGTGAGAATTCTAAAACAAATACATAAACTTCAGGAATAGAAAGCAATGAGCATTAAAAGATGTAGAAGGAAATGATACCAAAAGTGGTAAGGATTAATTATTCTCAGATAAGGCTTAACTCAGAATATTTAACTATTACAATAGTTTGTACAGTTGTTTTATTTGGAGTAGATATGGTTCTGAGAACATCTGAAAAAGAGGAAGCTTTTATTTTATTGCTGTTTTCTGCATTTCAGATCACAATTCAGCTAGACATTCTGGGGATGTTTACACTAACCCACATTTTACAAAGTATATATATATATATATCACAAATATATTTTACAAAGTATATATATATATATATCACAAATTATTAAATTACATTCAATACTCACTATTCACCCTCTGTATTGTCATGCATCTAATGTCCCGATAGTCACAAAAATATTACAGTCTGTTACAAAACTTCATATAAATTAAATTGAAACAACTTAATAATTACTTTTAAACAACCTGAGTTTATTTCCCAAGAAACATGAGTTACCTATAGCTGTCACAAAATACTATTATTCTCTGCCCTTTCTGGTAAATACTTTTATTTAAGGATTTATCATGAGCTTTTATCACAAATTTGCAGGGAATCTAGTGGAAACCAAACAGTACCGCATATATTGTGTAAACCTGTGTTTTTGTTTTTTTAATTATTTTATTTTTTTACATCTTGCTGCAGCTGCCTCCACTAAGGATGGCACAAGTGGTTAAATTTTGTTAGGATTTCTTTCCATTTCACATTCCTGAGTCTTCTGAGTGCTGTGCTTATCAATACAAACTCTAGGTTAGGTTTTTCTGCTTTACTTTGTAACAACTTTCAGCAGATAACAAACCTGTTAAATTCCTTCAAATCAATACAATCCTAACTTTCCCTATGGCTACTCTTTTAGAGATAAGAATTAAAGCACTGAAGGAAAGTCCCCACACAAAGGTCACAAAAAATAATAAGTCTGAATATTCAGATTTTCCAAGATCTTCCAAGTTCCATTGTAGTGCCTTAGAGATGATTTAAAACCTACATTTATGCCAGGACAAACATTTAAAGTGGATAGTAATGTGTAGGGTTACTAATTTCCTCAATATGCACCTTCTCAAACAAGTGAAAGTAAAATTTTCAAGAGCTATGACAATATCATTTCATTTACAGGACCCTAGTTTGAAATTCAAAGAAATGTGGTGAGCTGTTTAACTTCCAGATTTTTCAGAATACTTTCCCTGATCAGCAGGAAATTACTTTCTGTCAGGTGTGGCTTTCACTTTTTGCGGACATGCTTGATACAGTAAGGTATGCTTCAACTTTCCTTCCCCCCCCCCCCAAAAAAAAAAAAAATACACAGTTCACACCCACACTTAAAAAAAAAAAGGGGGGGGGGGGAGGTGCGGGGGGGAGGATGGGAGGGGCAGGAAACACCTATCCCACACACCTTGGTCCCATACAGAATGTAATCTTCTAGCATAATTTTTTTATTCTTACATAGTAATACTGGCCATATTTAATTACCTATTACCTTATTTTGAGAAAAATAGCTGCTTTCTCCTCTGGGAAAAAAAAAAAATAATAATAATAATTAGAAACACAACAGAACAAAAGTTTTACTACTTCTCTCTTTTTTCTTTTTTTTAAATTTTATTTTATGAAAACCACAGTAGAGGGAGAAAAAAAGCATTCAAAGAAGAAGCATAAATATTTCAGATGCCTTGCTGTCATCAGTCAAGTAGTTCTAATGCACAAAATGAAATTATAAAATTATCCTGAAGTATGAAACCTAATGTTGAAAGCCAAGTAGAATGAAAAAAATGATGTGCTAAATTTTCAGAGACATCTGTCAATCATTTTTCAGACCATTCATAAGAAAAGTCTGTCATTCGCACAGCAACAAGTAGTGTTTATGCTTACCTAAGATTGCTCAGTTTAATTTTCTGGAGAAAAATATCAGAAAGACACCTGGTTTTGAAAGATTTTAAAAGCTGGCCCATTTTAGCTCCATTATGACTGTACTCCTTCCTTGAATATTCTCACCTTTCCAATATGGTCCAACTGGATTTTATGGTACGTACAATAAAGTTAAAGGAAAAATAATTGTGACATAGTCACAAGATATTAAATAGCAATCACTGTGCATCTTCTCTTCCATAGTCTTAATCTCTCAAGAAGTTGTAAATAGTATAAGAAGAAAGGGGAGGAGAAAGACAAAGAGCACAGGCAATTTTCATGAAATCATCCAACTCCCCCAAGACACTTCTCTAACCTTCTCCTATTGAAGGAAGTCCACTGAAGATGTACTATACAAGATACATTTTTCAGCCTGTACTGATGTAGAATCAAAAGCTCATCTGAAACAAATATCAACTGTTTAAAGGTATTTGTATTAACATAAACCTGGTGCAAAATGCTGTCTATCAGCAAGTAACAGTGCTTAACAAATTCTATCACAGAGAAACTTGAGGCAATAGGATGAAGGGTCTCAGACAGGTATGAAATTACAAGGACAATACATTCAGATGCTACTGTGCTTTGAGTTTTGAAAGGATTTAAAAGCCTGAGGGAGAAAATGTAATGAAAATATTATTATTAGGACATTTTCTAATTTGGTAAGGATTAGCAGTCTGAGACATCAATCATCTTTAGTACTTTTGAATACTCCAACCTACAGTTAATGAAAAACGTCTGCAGATTACTTCATAGTTATTGGTGTAATTTGGGGAAGTATCATATATATACGTGCACAGGCACATATGCATGTACATGTGTAACACGTATGCGCATGTGTGTGCATGTGTTTTTGTACTTTGTATTTAATAGTTCTTACAGAACTATAAAGTTGGATGTTCACACTGATTTTTTTATTGTTATGTTTGATATTACTTACATAAACATAAATTAAAACTACAGGAAGTTATACAAATTTATGCATTCATAATGTAAATATATAAAAAAATAGTTCATCAAGAAGAACAGTAATTGTTCTATTTTATTAACTGTATGTAAATATTTACAAATTGTTAATTATTGACATAGAATCTTGTAAAATAAAGATTTTGTTCTACAGACTTTGTCTATCTAGTTTTTGTCTGTTTAGATGAAAATGTTAAAATGTAGCCTCTATGCCACCCACATATAAATTCCCTATTGCCTGGAAATCAATGCACCTGAAGAAAATGAATATTGAAAGAAGGAAGTTTCACTCTGCATCACCTACTAAAAGGAGGCGGTCAGAGATTTCTAGAAGTAGAAGAAGAGCATTTAAAAGGGACTGAGATAGCTGACAGAATGGTACCCCAGGAGCCTTCCAGAAGTGTGCAATCAGGAGCAGAATACCCACAAGGTTGGTTTCTTTGATTTTATTGTTGATTTTTGTTTTACTCATTTCCTTTTTCCTTTACTAATGCAATGTCAAATGATTTTAATGTCTTCCTAAAAATTATCTTATATTTAGAAGCAATTGCTTTAAATTATGTTACAAGTTACAGGTATACAGCAAACTGATGGAAAAAACAAAACAAAACAAAACAAAACAAACAAAAAAACTATTTTTTAATTCATTACTTTGTAGACCTGGTGGTTTACATTTAGTCAAATTTATTACAGAAAGCAGTTTTCTATGTACTGTATGTGTTTATCTATATAGAAATGGTGGGAAAACAAATGTTTTAGAAAATCACAATATAATTAAAAAAAACCTCATTCTGACATTTACATATTAAATAAATTATATATCAACATGTGAAGTTGTATTCTCTTATATGTTTCATTTTTCTGTAGATACATAGTATAATATAACTTTCAAATGTTACGCCACAAAAATTTAACTCATTAGGCTTACCACAGCACATCCGTAATCTGTGCTATCTTCCCATTGACTTCTACCCTAGGAAACATTATGGTTGCCCCGGAGTGCTGGGCCAAATTCCTATTAGTTTAAAGCGGATACAATTGCACTGATTAAAGTCCATGTACAGGTATAGTTATGGCCTTCATCTTTATTAGAAATTAGAATCATTACAGCATAAAAGTGAACATGCAGGGGTAAATATCAACTGTGCTTGTATGACTTTACAGAATTGTAAAACAATCTTAATTCTGTTAGCTTCCTGTCCACTTCTTCGTTCTCCAAGAACTAGACAATGTATTGCCCTGGGAACTTCTTGATCCTCTTATCTGTCTGCCTTATCGCTACGTCCCTTGGTAATCACCAAAGTAACAGCCACCAATGCCTTGAAAGTGTGCAGTGGAGTGAGCTCTTAAAGGAGATTGAGAAACTGGTAAGTAGATGTTTAAAATACCACCATAATCTATAGACATTGTTTGTAATGTTTCCTTTCTTCAGTATAAGTGGAAGGAATTGTTAAATGCATAAAAAAAAAAAAAAGTAAATCGGGAAATTATTAATTATAAAAATAGATTATGAAACATATGGCCCTATTTCTACAAAGCCAAAAATCTTATTTTTATCTTTTTATTCAAACTAATCTGGCTGAATATATGACATTTGTGTGTCTTATGAAAAACTCCATTTCCTCCACAGATGATTGACAGAAGTCATGTATTTTAGAGTACACAGTTACGAGGGATTTCTACAAATTAGCATCAGCTGAAACCATAGCCCCATAATTTACCAGGATATAATTCCACCCAAAGAAAAGTGCTTCAAAGGCACAAATACTCAATTAAGGTGTTTGTGTTTTTTGTTTGTTTGTCTGTTTTATTTTTATTTTATGTATTTGTTTATTTGAAATCAGCTGTATGGAAAGCATGTTTCCTTTCTCAGTTTAGCTCCCCCCCCCCCCCCATGGCCTGCCTTTTCCTCACCACCATACAGATACCTGGAACATTTGAGAAAATATAATAGGCAAAGAGTCCTACTATAAAAGCATATATAGATACTATAAAAGTATCTATTTCTTCCATAGCTTGGAAGCTTCCCAGGCTTAGGAACATACGCAGTTGTTCATACATTTCATTGTTAAGAGACCAAATGATTATTTAGTGAACTATTCTATGAATTGTTCATAATAAACCCAGTTTTGTACATACTTAATATAACTATTTCAAGTAACTTAAAGTTACTTAAAATATTTATTTATTTATTTATTTAAGTAACTTAAACTAACTATTTTAACTAATATTTTCTTTAAGAACAAAAGAGGCTTTTCTTTGGAATGTGAGGAAGTGAACAGTGAAGATTTGTGTTTCCCTGAGAAGATGCTAAAAGCAGTAAGTAAGAAAAGATATGATACTTGTTATTAGAAGTACTATAAATGCATGATAGTATTTCACTGTAACAACTCTACTTCACGCAGTTTATGCACCTTGTCATGAGTCTTTCACATTGGAACTATGACATAATACTTTGCAGGTTTAAATGGCAAATCTGACTTTTGGCTTTTCACTCCAAACTCTTTTCCCTGAGAGCTTACTGGCTAAGTAAAAACATACCTTGTCATATACGCTGGAATCCACAGTAACCAGGGCTACCTGCTAACTGGCATCAGCCAAGCTCATAAAATCAGAGTTTGCTTTGCAAGAACACAATCTTACAGAAAGGAAAGTACTTCCACAGTAACAAAGTATTTTGGGCACAAATAATCTCAGAACGTATTTTTGGAAGTCAGCTATATAGGAAGCACATTTCCTTGTCCAATTTTTCACCTTTTGTGGTATGCCCTTTGCTCAAGTCTGCAGAGATCAAATAGACTAAGCTAAGTAACAACTTAGCCAGTAACTGGTCAAATTCATCCTTAATATCACCCTTTTGAATTTCAAACTCTGCAGTCTATTGCTCTATTGTTCTATTCATTATTGTTAAAAAGACTTCTCAACTGTTTTCATAAACCATTCCTGAAAATGTAAGGGGTATTTTAGAAGTATGAGGTGAAGAGCAAGAAGTTCTTGGTGGTTTTTGCTTTTGTTTGTTTTTCCTACTATTTATGTTACTACATTTACCAGAAAAAGGGTGAGATGCTAGTCCTGCCTGCTGTTCAAACCAGAAAGTTAGTTGGAATTAGTCTGGTGTTCTGAAATCTACCAGAATGGCATGCCAGCTTTGGCTTCAGTCAAAAGCAGATCCTATAAAAGAAGCACAGAAGTAATTTTACATTACTCAACACATGCATGCCAACTCAACACATATATTCACAGTCCACATTCAGTCCACAAAATAAGAAGGTGCTTGGCTGAGGGAACAAAAAGGACAGAAAGCATTATCAACCACTTTTGTATTTCCATCTTCTCCAAGAAAGAGAGAGCTCCCCTTAATCTGCTATGTGTTTGTGAGGAAAGAGCTGCACATTAGTAGTGTATTCCTTTGGGTCTGAATCCAAGAGATGCAATATATAACATATATAAGAAAATGCAATATATATTTACATAACAAAATAAGGGTCCAGCTTATGAAGCAAAATTTGCAACTAGAAATTGCATATACAATTCCTGGTTTCCAAATAAATACTGTGTTTGCAATACATATTACTTTATATATTCTTTTTTGCACTTAAGCTTTTAAAAAAGCACAAGAAAGTGATGAAAACTGTGCAAGAGCTTATGAGTCGACTCAGATACTTGTAGTAACTGAAACTTAACTGCAAACTTCAGAAACCAAGGTAGTCTACATTTCATATATTTTTTTTCCTCTTTTTCCTTGCAGGTTAAATATGATAGTGCCACCATTGTTCATATAGTGCACGAAATTGCTGAGTTTTTCAAGAGAGCAGACACACCTTTTCAAAATAAGAACAATTTTCTAAGAGGAATGTATGAAGCTCATGCTCAGCTCAAGACTTGTGTAAGTATACACACACACACACATATATATATATGCACATATTTTTATTATTTTTTCCCCCACAGCATGATATTGAAGTCAGATTTGCTAAGAAACTTGCAGGAGAACAAGCCCAGGCATACAAACATGCAGCTAACACACCCTTTTGTTCCCAAAGAGGGAACCCCCAGTGCATGGTAGAGAGGGTTCCATGAATTCGCAGTAGCATATAAACACTGACCTCCAAAATCACATTGCTGCTTCTAAACAGGTCAGATTCTTGGACAACTTGTGTATAACAGGTAATAATCAGTCCTTAACTAAGCACATTATGTATTTCCTTTTTTTTCTTTAATGAATAAACATACAGCTACATCTATGACATAGTATGTCAAATGACCACCAGTTATTCTGAAGCTAATTTTCTTTAAAATATATATATATATAAACACAGTACTGTCACAAAAGAAGGAAAATCCACAGGCCCTTACCTTGTTTTGAGCACTGATGAATTAATTTTCTGATCTCTTCATAGACCTAACACGTGTGCAACATGCTACCTGTAGCATTAACCCCTTCAGTAGTCTTGCATATGACAGAAGCACTACAGTGCTTTCAGCCGTGACAATTTCTATCAGTTTTACTGAGTCATGTTGAACTTCTATTTACTTCTGACTGTTCAGATTAATAGGTTCTTTTCTTTTCCATTAAAAATAACAGCTGAAGTCTGGATTTAACTTTATCCATGAATCCATAGTGAAGGACTGCTTCAAAAAAATGGATAAGTTGGTGGCCAAGGTAAGCAGGCTGTTTCTCAACATATTTTATTTTCCATGATAATGGATGTTACCTTTTACAAAACAAGTAATAAGCTTTTTAATAATATTTTCTTCACAGAAAAATAATCACTGTACTTGGCAAGAGATCCATGCACAATCCAGAGAGTTACTTCAAAGAATTGAAAATTACTCCTTCAAGAGAAGATCAATACAATAAGAATGTCAGTTTCAATCAAATACTTTGAGGATCACATCAAGATAAATTATCCAATTTTTCTAAAGATGAAAGGAAGTAGCATATACATAGTTCCTATTTAAGGTTTTAAATCACTTAATTTATTTTTGTCAAGATATTTTTGTCAAAGTATTTTTCTAAACTACTTATAATAACTGTAGTCTTAATAAAAAAGATGCAAAAGAACATGTAAATGTGTCAATATTTATTGGTTTTAGTAAACATATATATATATTTATATTTTCGATAAAATAGATGTCATAGATATGGTCCTCCAAACCTTGTATTCAGGCTAAACAGTGAGTATATCAGTTACACTGCTTGATTTGATAGTTCATCCATTAAATGATGGAAATATGAACTTATATACAACTTCCTCGTAAGGGGGTGTCGAGAGACAGGAGACCTTTTCTCCATTAACACCAGCGACAGGACCCGCGGGAACGGGGTTAAGCTGAGGCAGGGGAAGTTTAGGCTTGACATCAGGAGGGGGTTCTTCACAGAGAGGGTGGTTGCACACTAGAACAGGCTCCCCAGGGAAGTGGTCACTGCACCGAGCCTGACTGAATTTAAGAAGAGATTGGACTGTGCACTTAGTCACATGGTCTGAACTTTTGGGTAGACCTGTGCGGTGTCAAGAGTTGGACTTGATGATCCTTAAGGGTCCCTTCCAATTCAGGATATTCTATGATTCTATGATATCAGCCTAATGTTTTTCCAATACTATGAATTTACACTGTTGCACTTTTACCACTGCAATTACAAGGATACCTAACTGTTCACATGTGGAAAGATATGCATGTTTCCACAGTGTCATGCCTCCAGGCTTCCAGAGCTATTCATGGAGAATTCTTACATTTCAGTTTGATCATCCACATGTAAATTTTATATCCAAAAAAAAACCAAACAAACCACACACAAAAAAAAACAAAACAAAACAAAACAACAAAAACACATAAAAACTGTAAACATAAACTACATAAACTGTAGTTTATATCACTGGGTTTGTCAGTCAGATTCAGTGCGCATACTTCAGTGTATCCAGTATGTTAACAACTCGTAATTGTCCTTGGCCAGCTATTACACAAGAGAAAGAACCCTGGTGGTATATGGTAATGGCAAGAATAGCAGGCAGAAGTGAAAATCGAGGCACTTATGTCATCATCAACACATGACAAACAAAATATACACTAGTTATTTAAAGTTTGAAGTTTTCAAACATTTGCTTTGCTCAGAGGCTTTTTAAAAGTGGCATGGAAGAACAGCATGAGACAAAGTCATGTAGAGGGTACTTTTTGCCTGCTGGTGACTTTATCAAGCCACAGTAATCGAGATGTTCGGGCAACATTAGGAAAACAGTAGTTTTATATCATGAATTTACAGCTGAAAACAAGGAGAAATGAGCACTACACACCAGTTTCTGTAATTTAATGAGAATGCATGGCTTTTAGTTTAAAGACCCAAGTGCTGTGAGCATTCTGAGCTAACCACAGCACACACAAGGAAGAAGGCTTGCACTGTCATTTTAAGTAATCTCCACTCTAAGACATACAAGAGAAAACGTATGGTATAGCAAGGACTACCACATACGAGGGAAGCTATCTGTTGTTAGGCAGAAAAAAAAAAAAAAAGTTGCTCCAAATCACACTCTGGAGAAACCTCTTTCTTTCTCTCCAATGATCATAATGGAGAGTTTGCCATTTAGCCTAAAGAGCTTAAGCATGAACCAGATTCTACATTATATATCAAAACTCTAATATTCTATGGTGCTTTGCTGAAGGGCTAATTTTGTATTGTTTTATTGGAATTTAACAATATACACAAGTGACATCATTATTATCATGACCATCCTAAATGGAAGTTTAGAAAATTCTAAGAGAGAGAAAAAGATCTTTAGGATTTTATGACAAATACATTGCACTTTCCAATTTATTTCTACTACTTCATTCACAACAATACTGCAACTTTTCTACATTTCTGCTTCTTGAGAAAATATACAAGCTACAGCCTTGCTGTCACTGGTTTGGAATATTACGCTTTTTCCTTATAACGGAAACTGTTTTTAGGTAATGATGCTTCTGACAAACTGAAAAGTAATCCTGCAACATTAAGGCTGCACTTCATGGTAAAAGCTCTTTCCTGTCTGGTTATGTCTGCCAATGACACCAAGCTGAGTGGTGGAGTCTGGCGGGAAGGGATGCCATCCAGAGGGACCTGGATGGGTTTGACAGATGGGCCTATGTGAACCTCAGGAGGTTCAATAAGGCCAAGTGCAAGGTTGCGTATCTGGGACAGAGCAATCCCAAGCACAGATACAGACTGGGTGGAGAATGGATTGAGAGCAGCCATGAAAAGAAGGACCTGGGGGTGTTGGCGGATGAGAAGTTGAACATAAGCCAGCAATGTGCACTTGCAACCCAGAAAGCCAACCATATCCTGGGCTGCATCAAAAGCAGCATGGCCAGCAGGGCAAGGGAGGTGATTCTCCCCCTCTACTCTGATCTTATGAGACCCTACCTGGAGTGCTGCATTCAGCTGTGGGGCTACCAGCACAAGAATGATATGGAAATATTAGAACAAGTCCAGAGGAGGGCCACAAAGATGATCAGAGGGCTGGAGTACCTCTCCCATGAAGACAGGCTGACGGAGTTGGGGTTGTTCGGCCTGGAGAAAAGAAGGCACTGGGGAGACCTTATGGAGGAGGCCTTCTAGTACCTAAAGGGCATCTACAGGAAAGCTGTGGAGGGACTGTGTCAGAGAATGTAGTGATAGGACAAGGGTGAATGGCTTTAAACTAAAAGAGGGGAGATTTAGATTAGATGTAAGGAAGAAATTATTTCCTATGAGGGTGGTGAGGCACTGGCATAGGTTGCCCAGAGACATTTTGGATGCCCCATCCCTGGAAGTGTTAAAAGCCAGGTTGGATGGGGGTTTTGAGCAACCTGGTCTAGTTGGAGGTGTCCTTACCCATGGCAGGGGGTTGAATTAATGATCTTTAAGGTCCCTTCCAACCCAAACCATTCTATAACTCTGATTTTCACACCATCTGTCTTCATGCTTCACATTCATTTTCCCCATATGTACCACAGCTGCATATCAAGGGGAAAAAAAAAAAAAAATGGAAAAGTCAGGATTACATAGTCTGTTTATTGCAGCTCTGAGTCTTGAGAAAGTTTCTGTCATCAGCAATCTGAGTTCATAGGACAGCCTCACGGGAAATGTCAAGCTCACCTGGAACTCCAGCTTTCTCCTTTAGACTGGAGAGTCTAATGCAGAAGAGTACTTTTAACTTTTGTCCAGCAGAGCAGATTGTCAGATTCTTTCTAGACTCAGTCACGAAGCTGGCATGGCTCTCAATTTCTATACAAAAATAAGTCTCTTCTCTTTTGTCATGGACTTGTTAATGCTGTTAGCTAGGATGAAAATATTACTTCAGCCAATCCTCCTCATATTTATTTATATCCATTGTTCATATTTTTATTTTGTGGATCACAACTTACTTTTAAGAAACTATACAGACAACACTGGTCAAATTGCTAAAGTATATTACACAACAGATAGATATTGGAAACTTATTAGTATTTATACTCTTAATCTAAGCAACAGCCTGCTCTAGATTTATAATAGTTTAAAAAGCCCCCAAATATGAATTATTTATAAAAAAACAACACTATATTAATTCAATTTTTACTTGACCATTATATGGTATTTTCTCACATCTGAATTCTTGCTTTCTGGTAGAAGAAAGTTTATTTCTAGACTCCCAAGTCCTTGAAAAAAACAAACAAACAACAAAACAAACACATATGCCACTTTTATATTTTTAAGAATGGTATCTACATGAGAACAGTACTTATTTTAAGTTCATTTGGAAACTATTTCAAGCAAGTCCATTGAAACATAAAGCTGTGGTATACAAAATTTTTAAAACATGTATGTGCATGCCACAGATTATTACTGGAAAGGACATTCACAATCGGAATACAAGAGGCAAAGCAAATAAAGCTCGACAATATGATACTATCATCTTATTTCCATGTTTACATTTATATCTTATAAAGAAAGTGGTGCAATTCTTGTCACATTTTGTATATAATCAGTGCTACAAAGAACAAGGTGACCTGAAGATGAACCTACCTTAGAGTGATTCCAAAGGGTCAAGAACATGGATGGTGGTCCAGATCATTGACACCAAAATTAGGAAAAAGCAGTATTCAAGTGTACTAGAAATACTGCTTAAAGTGTTTAAGTAGTCTTCAATGAAAGGAATAAAGACTGAATACAGCAATACAGCAGAATCTTTTAGATGAACATAGTGTATTTTATAGATTTAGATAAAAGAAGAAATAAAACTATAACATAGGCCCTAAATTTATGTATTTATGTCACTGACAAAAAACGTCTTTCTTACAGAAAAAAAAAAAAAAAAGGAGAAAAAAAGGTATCCTTAACTTATCACTAGTAATAAATATGTTACTATTCACACACAAAATGAACAATGTCAAGTGAAAACAGTAGAAACAGGGTTCTTAGAAAAAAAACATTTTCAATCACAGAATCATCTAGGTTGGAAGAGACCTCCAAGATCACCGAGTCCAACCTCTGACCAAACACTAACAAGTCCTCCACTAAACCATATCACTCAGCTCTACATCTAAACATCTGTTAAAGACCTCCAGGGATGGTGATTCAACCACTTCCTTGGGCAGCCCATTCCAATGCCTAACAACCCTTCCAGTGAAGAAGTTCTTCCTAATATCCAACCTAAACCTCCCCTGATGCAACTTTAGCTCATTCCCCCTCATTCTGTCACCAGTCATGTGGGAGAATAGACCAACCCCCACCTTGCTACAGCCTCCTTTAAGGTATCTGTAGAGAGCGATAAGGTCGCCCCTGAGCTTCCTCTTCTCCAGGCTGAACAATCCCAGCTCCCTCAGCCACTCCTCACAGGACTTGTTCTCCAGAACCCTCACCAGCTTCATTGCCCTTCTCTGGACCCGCTCAAGCACCTTGATCTCCTTCTTGTAACGAGGGGCCCAAAACTGAACACAGTACTCGAGGTGTGGCCTCACCAGTGTACAGGGGGACAATCACTTCGCTAGCCCTGCTGGCCACACTGTTTCTTATGCAAGCCAGGATGCTTCTTGGCCACCTGAGCACACTGCTAGCTCATATTCAGCCGACTATCAACCAATACTCCCAGATCCTTCTCTGCAATCAGATGCAATAATTACTTTAATGCTACTTGGTAGTGTTAAACTCCTCTGATGATTAACTTGTTTTCCTCTGATGACTAACATGTTTTCAAGCTGAAATCAACTTCATACAATTCATATCATTTTCTGGTCCATAACTAAGGCAGTTCCCTTGTACCTATCAGAGGAACTTTACAAACTATTTAATTCTATGACAGTTCCATATAGAGATATATAAAGGCTATACATATGAAAGTTACACAGATTAATATATTTCATAGGTATTTAACGCTTCTTCATCCTCTAGAATACAAATTTAATCTTTTCAGTAATCAGGAAAACAACCAATAGATCCTTACTCTGGTTAAACTCATTCTGATTTCATGCAAATGCTCTTATAAATGGACTTCATCTAAGAACAAGAGAGCCCACACTCAATTCAAAAGCAACGAAGCTGGTGAAAGGTCTAGAAAAGAAGTCTTATGAGAAGCAGCTGAAGGAGCTGGGGTTATTCAGCTTGGAGAAAAGAAGGCTCAAGGGAGACCTTATTGTACTTTATAGTCACCTTAAGGGAGGTTGCAGCAAGATGGGAATTGGGCTCTTTGACCAAGCACCAAGTGATAAGACAAAGGGAGATGTCCTCAAGTTGTGCCAAGGGATGTTTAGGTTGGATATTAGGAGAAATTCCTTTACTGATGTGGTGATTTTATTCAGCTGGGCAGCTGAGCTCCACCATAACTGCTCTCACACTTCCCATTCCCCACCCCACCCCCACCCCCCTCCCCAAGGGAATGGGGGAGAAAAATAAAATGGAAAGGATTCAAAGGTTGAGACAAGGACAGAGAGATCACTCAACAATTATCATCACAGGCAAAACAGACAACACAGGGAGATTAATAAAATGTATTACCTATTACTAACAAACTAAAGCAGTGAGAAACAAAAATAACAAACTAAAAACACTTTCCCCCTATCCACCTTCTTCTACTTGCCTGGAGCCTGCTCCTGCGGGGGCTCTCCATGGGCTGCAGCCTCCTCCAGGCCACATCCACCTGCTCCACCAGGGGCTCCTCCATGGGCTGCATCGTGGAGATCTGCTCCATGTGGGACCCATGGGCTGCAGGGGGACAGCCTGCTCCACCAGGTGCCTCTCCACGGGCTGCAGGGGAGCTTGTGCTGCCTGCCTGGAGCACCTCCTGCCCTCCTGCTGGGCTGCAGGGCTGCTTCTCACTCCTCGCTCTCTCAGCTGCTGTTGTGTAGTAGTTTTTTGTTTGTTTGCTTGTTTGTTTTTTCCCTTTCTTAAGTCTGTTCTCACAGAGGCCCAACCAACATCACTCATTGGCTTGGCTCTGGGCAGCAGTGGGTCCCTTTGGAGCCGGCTGAAACTGGCTCTTACCTAACGTGACAGCTGCTGTATTCTTCTCTCAGAAGCCACCCCTGCAGCCCCCTGCTACTAAAACCTTGCCACATAAGCCTGATATAACTGAAAGTGTTGTGTGGCATTGGAATAGGCTGTCCAGGGAAGTGGTTGAGTCACCATCCCTAGAGATCTTCAAGAAACATGTAGATGTAGAACTTAGCATGGTTTAGTGGTGGATGTAGATTTAGAATTTAGTAGCATGGGTTAGTGGTAGACTTTAGTACTGGATACAAGGTTGGGTTAGATGATCTTAGAGGTCTTTTACAACCTAAACAATTCTATGATTCAAATATAAAGAAGGGGAAATAAGACCATAGCAGCTACTAGATCTGATCAAGATGTATTCGTAATTTACATATTGCTGTTCATAATACAGCAATAGAAAGAAAAAGTGTCATGCAACACAAGATCCCAAGTAAGTGCATCACAGTGCCCTCATTCTATCTCAATACATTAGCACTTTGCAATGCTACCCACTTTTCTCAAACAATTAATGCATTAGGATATTTTTCAAGTGATGTGTAAGGATTTCCCATCCTTATGAAAGTTGTCTGGTAGATACTCTGTGAATGTAAAAGTCTCTGTGCTTTCAATAATATGTAACATCTACTTTGTGACATATAGCTTGCT